AAGCTGGGCACAGTGACACATGCCTGTAATTCCTGCAACTCAGGAGGCTGAGGCAGGAGGACCTAAAATTTAAAGCCAGCCTCAGTAATATAGTGAGGCTCTAAGCATATTAGTAAGACCCTGTCTCAAAATAAAATATAAAAAGGGATGGGGATGTGGCTCAATGGTTGAGTCTCCCCAAAAAATTAGCAAATTTTTGGGGAGGTTGAGCCTCCCCCCAAAAATAGCAAATCAAATCCAGCAATGTGTAAAATGATAATAATTAAAATAAAATATGAGAAGATAATAAATTCCTGGATTTATTCCAGGAATGCATGATTGGTTTAACATTCAATTTGTGTAACTCACCACATTAACCAAATAAAGAAGAACCTATGAATAGTGTTTAAAAATAAATGTTTGGATAAATAAGAGCACCTCAATGAAAAATTGATCATGATAGTTACAGAAAAAAATAACTGTTAGAACTCTTTGCACTCATTGTAAGCACATAGACGCACAAATGATGGAGGTAGACGATGGGAAGCAAACCTCGGCTCAGCAAGCTTTTCTTTATTCGGTATCAGTAAGCTAGTCAATCGGTAGAACCCTGGTGTAGTTCATTTTCAGGGCAGAAAATGGCGGCAGGCTGAAGCAAGGGTCTGGGTTACTTAGGCTTAATTTAGGGTGGAACAGGAGGTTAGTTCCTGGGGTTCATTGTATTGGGGTAGGCTGATCCCTTAGGGTTGGGCAGGAGTGTGAACAGGGAATTTGGGGGGCGTTATTGTATTAGGATCAGCTGACCCATTGTGGTTGGGGGTCAGGTGCATATTCCTTTGTGTTCCTTAATTCTGGCTGAGGCCTGGGATTTTAAATGACCAAAACTTCCATTTTACCCCAGACAAGGCAAACGGGGGAAGAGCAGCAGATGGAGGAAATGTCCTTGGACTTATTCTCCATATCCTTCACTTAGGGCTGAGAATAAATTTGATTTTAAATTTCATGCGGCAGCTGAGTAGGATGATGCATGCCTATAATCCCAGCAATTTGGGATGTTGAGGCAGGAATAACACAAGTTTAAGGCCAGCCTGGAAACTTGGCAAGATTCTATCTCAAAACAAAAAATAAAAAGGGCTGGGGATTAGCTCAGTGGTAGTCTGAGTAGTAGTAGCTTCAGGGTTCAATCCCCAGAACTGCAAAATAAATAGATAGATAAATAAATAAATTTATTTCATGGGGTTGGGGGCATGGACACCATAGTCTTTTTCCATACATACAGAATAAAAGTCAACAGACTAGACCTGGACATCTGGATGTCTAATGACCATTAGACATCTCTGATCATCTTTTTGTGTGTGTGCTGATGATGGAACCCAGGGCCTTATGCATGTTTATATCACATGCTGTATCACTGAGCTACACCCCTCCAGTCCCTTTGGCCATCTTTTAAATGGAAACAAGAACCACTATCCTTCATGGAAGGTTGACGGTGGGTGGGTGGGTGTAAGCAACAATAACCAAAATGGTTTCAGCACCATAATAAAAGTACAAATAACTAGGGTGCGAGCAGGTTTCACGGATCAGCTATGCCTTTTGCTCAGCAGCAGAGCAGGAATCAATCGAAGGGCTCACCTTCTGGGTAGAAAATGGCGTCCATTACAGGGAAGATATAGGTTTACATAGGTTACATTGGGTGGGGGGGTCTTAGTCCTTGAAGACTTTAACAGGATTGGGGCAAAAGGTTGCAAACATCTGGAACTTGTTTCTACTGGGCATGCTTTTTTTTGTCTGTCTGTCTGTTGGTACTCGAGATTGAACTCAGGGACACTCAACTACTGAGTCACATCCCCAGCCCTATTTTGTATTTTATTTAGGGACCCGGTCTAACTGAGTTGCTTAACACCTCACTCTTGATGAGGCTGGCTTTGAACTTATGATCCTCAGCCTTCGGAGCTGCTGGGATTACAGGCATGGGCCCCTTACTGCACCTGGCTTGGTTTTTAATTAGTGTTTTTACAGGCAGAGTGGAGGTTTCAGGATTCGGAGTCCTGTTCATCTGACCTCCAGGGGTCACTATGTTGACACGGGGACAAGATTAATGCGTGGTTTCACTGTTATGTCACTGAGAAATGGTTTATTGGAGGGATCAAAACTTTGGCTTCCATCTCCCTCTCTCCTTCTGGATCACACACTATCTTGGGGGATTTATTAATTCCGTATCCTTCAGTGGGTGCTACAACCACACCCACAATCTGACCTTAAATTTTATGATAATGGCATTGGTGGAAATAGTAGGCAAATTATATTTGCAGGAAAATGAGATTGTTTACTCCACCTAGTTTTCCCAACTTCCAAATACAGAATGGAGTGGGAATCCAGTAAGGATCATTCTCCATCTGCTGGGTGGGATCATAAAGTTTCCATGTGACCAATAGGGTCACATTTAATTTCAGGATGTTGTGCCACTGAAATTACTCATGATAAACAAACACACCCTCCAGCCCAGGGACAGTCCCTGCGCCTCCATAGGCTCCCCATTCCCGCCTACATCAGTGTGCTTTGCCTGAATTTCATTTTGTTTTTACAATGTCTCCACAAAAAGGTATTACTGGGCTCCCTGTCTTGCAGATGAGGAATCTATACTCCTGGAAGGAACTGACCTCCCACTACATTCCCCTCTTACTACTTGGTCCTCAGTGTTCTCCCTGTATTAAAAGGCTAGGCTTCCTGGTCAAGGTGGCGCGCACACCTGATTCCAGTGGCTTGGGAGGCTAAGGAAGGAGGATTCAAGTTCAAAGCCAGCCTCAGCAATTTAGCAAGGCCTTAAGCAACTTAGAAAGACCCTATTGAGACAGGGCAAAGGACAGAAAGCGTAGAAAATGAATGATTGGGTTGGGAAGATGGGAACTAATTCAAAAGTAAGTAGAATACCTGCAGAACTCTTGCCCCTCCTTGCAACCAGTTGCCAAGTTCACCTCAGCCTCCAAGGGACTGATGGTTCCTCCCAGCAAGGAGTTGCTAACGAATTCCCCTGGGTGGCTCCTTTTCTGACTTCTTTGGCAGGTGTGGAAAATAGGGAGAGGTACCCACTGGGCAGCTCCTTTCCCGAACTTTAGTTATGTAGGCAAGATTAGAGAAGGAGGGGGCATGAGAGGAAAGGAAACCTAAAATCTGTGAAGGGGCACAGCACCCCCACTCCCTAAGGAACCAGCTCTGGACACGCCCCCACCATCACGAGTCAGAGTGTCCCCCACCCCCTCCCTCTCCAGAGTCTCATCCGCCTCCCCTCCACCTCCCTTTCCTTCTCCCTGTTCTGTTTCTTAAATAAAATTTACTTTTTGCTCTTGCATTGGTGTTTCTCTGGTGTTGGGAACGAGGACCAGATCCTAATTTTCAAGACAATGTCACTATTTCAAAATTAAAAATAAATAAAAAGGTCTGGGGATGTGGCTTAGCACCACTGGGTTCAGTTTCTGATTTAAAAGGGGGGGGGGAGAGAGAGAGAGAGAGAGAGAGAGGACTAGCGTTTATTCTTTAAGCAGTCAACCTGTTGAATGCCTGTTGCATAGTAGGTCTTGGTAAATGTTTACCCCATGGAATTGAATACAGCCCGACCCTCCTAGTTAGTTTCATTTTCTAATAAGCCTTTCTTAATCTTTCAGCTGGGAAAGAGCATTCCACATTCTGGCCTGAGTCACCAAAGCTATCTCTCCCACGTAACTAGGCTAGAGGTAGATTTTATAGTGTTTATTTCCTGGAAACTGCTGCACTCCTCCCTTGGGAGGTAGCCTGTTACAGAAGGAAATGTTTGACTTTTGAAAACAGAGGCTGGTGCCAATAGCCATTGTTTTAGGCAAGTTATTTACTTCTTGTAAACCTCAGTTTTCTCATTTGTATTATTGAATGAGGATAAAATAATAGATAGTAAAAGGACCAGGCAATCAGGATAAAGGGCCTCATTCAACCACAGCTGGAGGCTAACTGGTAGATAGCACCTTCAAGGCCTATTTCAAATATAAAAGATCTTGAGGCTTACCTGTGGGAACACCTCCAGCTAACTCCTTTGTCCCAGAGGTGGAAAATGGAAGACCGGGGTGAACCTGGATGGAAGTGAACCTGGATGGTAGCCCCGAGCCTTTTCAATTTCTATTTTACAAAAGAATCTGCTCCATACTCTGCCCCAGAACCATATATAAACTCCTGAGCTGGCATACCAGAATGTTTTTTTTCTGCTATCAGGTCCCTCTCCCACATGGTGGGAGTTGTCTCACTTAAATAAATCCTGCTCTGTTTACTCTTCCCTTCCGTGATTTGTCCATGGATTTTATTCTTCAAGAACCCAGGGGAAGGGCCGGGGTGATGGCTCAGCGGTAGAGCGCTTGCCTAGCACATATGAGACCCTGGGTTCCATCCTCAGCTCTACATAAAAATAAATGAATAAAGAATCCAGGGGAAATTGGCATCTTGGAGAATGGAGTCTCATCTCAGAACTCCGGCTTCATCATGAGATAATTTATCTGCCTAGAAGATTTATTATGAGACTCAAATGAGATACTGTGCTTTTTGGGCTGAGTTGTGGCTCAGTGTAGAGCGCTTGCCTAGCACAAAAGAGGCACTGGGCTGGATCCCCAGCACCACATTAAAAAAAAAATCTAAATGAGATACTGTGCTTTTATCTTAATTTCCTAGTCCCTCATACTACTGTCTTCTTCCTCTCCATGCAGACAAGATGGACAAGGAAATATGAACAAGAGTAAGTGGGGTAAGGGTGCTGGGGAATACCTGACAAGAATTAGGGGAACCAAGCAGTTAGTGTAGAGATCAGCAGTCCTGAGCTAGGGTCCCAGCCCTGCTTTGCAAAAGTATGTAACTCTCCTCTGTAGAATGGACATAACGACACCGTCTTGCAGGTTTGTAAGGATTTTAGGAGAGAGTAGATGTGACTTTTCCAGCACCTAGTAGGTCCCCCATAAATAGTAGTTACTATAAGATCAGGCAAGGTGGGCAGCTACCAAAGGAGGCAGATTTTAAAAGGCCTCGGAATGAGGCTTTATTGAGATATCACTTGGGATGGAACTCTATCAGAGTGAACTGGAGAAGGGTCTGAAGAGAAATCGCTTGGGAGTTGGACCAGACTGGACTTTTATGGGGCTTACAGCAGGAAGGGAAGGTCTTGGGACAGGAAAAGGTGTTTTTGGAGTCCCTTGTCCCAAGTAGGTCAGGGGAGCTTGGCTGAACTCCAGGATTGGCCAGGGGGTCCTGATGATTGACAGGCATTAGTCAGGAGATCCCACTGATTGACAGGCATTTCTGTTGGCTGATAGATGTTTCTTTTCCACGGGGTCTGCTTTGTTCTAAGTCACCGCCACCGACCTGACATTCTGGGCTTAGTCTAAGACATTTACCTTTTCCTTGTTTTTTGCTGTTAATCCTTTCATCCATTTAAAACACCAGCTAGGGGCTGGAGATAATAGCTCAGTTGGTAGAGTGCTTGACTCCCGCATGCACAAGGCCCTGGGTTCAATCCCCAGCACTGCCACAAAAACAAACAAAACACCAGCTAACTCTTCCCACTTTCTCTTGGCCCCATCCCCTCTTGAACATAGTAGCTTCCTGTTTGTCCACAATTCCTACACCCAGGCAGGGGAGGGGGGGGGAGCTAAAACATTAAGGAAATAATTCTTAACAATTGTAAGAAAACATATTTAGATTCGTGTGTGTGTGTGTGTGTGTGTGTGTGTAAAAGACAGAATATTTGTTAGACGTGGGTATCTCTAAATCCCAAGAGAGCAAAAATGGGGATCTCATTCAGTGGAAGTCTCCGTGTGTGATTATGGCTCCATCAGGGCTCAGATCCTGGGATGAGGAAAGAGGAAGGAAAAATAAATAAATAATAAAATAAATAAATAAAAACAGAAAGAAAAGGACTGGGTCATTTAGCAGCTCCTAAAGGCATGCCTGAAAAAGACCAAGCTTGCTCTCGAGGGTGTGGGAGCGGGTGGGGACACCCCAGGTCGCCCTCGAGTTCTCACAGGGGGCGACTTGCCCCAAGTGCCAGGTTGAGCGCAAGTTGGGCTGGATCTCACGGTTCACTCACGTCGGTTCATCCAGAGTGGCCACAGGAAAGGACATGGTGGTCGTCGGGAGGTCCCCAAGCCCCTAGGGCTAAGCGAAACCCAGCGCCCCGCCCTCACGCCGCGCGAGGCAGGACTTCAAACCTCCGGGACCGCTGCGGAGTCAGCTAGACGGCCACTCCCACAGCTGCCACCTCTGGCTCTCCAGAGGGGACCCCCGCGGGGCCTGCCCTTGCGCCCCACGTGACTTCCTGAAAGCCTAGGGCACCGCCTCTCTCCAACTTAGTTTCGTTTCCTCGGCTGCCTGGGGACGGTCGTGCATCGGTCCCCTGCCGTGCTAGCGTGTCTCATCCGGTGTCCCCAGGAGCGCCATGGCGGAGCTGTTCCTGCTGGCGGAGGAGCTGTCGTGCTCCATCTGCCTGGAGCTCTTCAAGGAGCCGGTCACCACCCCGTGTGGCCACAACTTTTGCCGATCGTGCCTGGACGAGACGTGGGCTGTCCAGGGCAAGCCGTACCGGTGTCCCCAGTGCCGCGCCGTGTCCCCGTCGCTCCCGGAGTTGCGAAAGAACACGGTGCTGTGCGCGGTGGTGGACCAGTACCTACAGGCCGAGCTGGAGCAGGCGCCCGTGGCCGACTGGACGCCACCTTCCCCTCCCGAGGTCCCCAGTCCCGCCATCCAGGTGTTCTGTGACCACTGCCTGAAAGAGGAGGCCGTGAAGACCTGCCTGGTGTGCATGGCCTCCTTCTGTCCGGAGCACTTGCGGCCACACCTCGAGAGTCCTGCCTTCCAAGACCACCAGTTGCAGCTGCCGGTGCGAAACCTGCTGAAACGAAAATGTTCTCGGCACAACCGCCTGCGGGACCTGTTCTGCCCCACACATGGCGAGTGTATCTGCCACGTCTGCCTGGTGGACCACAAGACCTGCTCTCCGGTCGCCCTGAGCCAGGCCAGCACTGATCTGCAGGTAGGGTATGGTCGAGGAGGATGCTTAGAGCAGCCTGGGCCTGCTGGGTTGTGGAGAGGGGCCACTGAGGGCGTCTCTGCCATGCCACTGGGTCTTCTGAGGAGATATCTGGGTTTGCTAGTTCACAGCCATCTGGGTGACAGGCCACCTAGGCAGGTGTGTGTCCCCAGTGAGGGAGCTGGGAAATTATGTTGCCCTTCCCCTTATCCTTTGTGGCCATCCCTCTGTTGCTCCCCCACAGAACAGTTTTACAGAGGAACAATTGAAGTTACAGGTGCGGTCACTTGTGCTTATCTGATGGTTTTTCTTAAGGGTTCTGAGGGTCAAAGAGGACCCTGGAGGTTCCCTCATTAAATGCTGGCAACCCCTAGGAGGTGTGTATTATTTGTTCCATTTCACAGATCAGGCAGCTGAGGTCCAGAGAAGTTAACTTAGCAAAGCCAGTGTAGCAAAGTTGCCGAGCCAGCTGGGACCCAGATTGGTTTGATACACCATTTGCAGTTTTTCCCTGGGGACTAGAATTCCAATCTCTATAGAGTTCAGAGCAGGGGGAACATTCTGGGAGGCTTGAGGTCATATAAGCAAAAGTCTTGTTGGGATGGAGAGTTCTGGTGGTCAGGGAGGGTGAACGGTGTCTCAGGAAGCCCCAAATTAGAGCCACTTGGAGAGCCAGTGCTCTTACACTATGGTGTCCATCCTGCTGTGTGACTTTGAGTGTGGAATTTGTCCCCGGATCTGCGTCCTCGCTGGTAAAGGGAGGAGGAACATGGTGGACTCCTAAGGGCCTCTCAGGTCTATGATGTTTTTAGTGGTTTGGGAAATCATAGGTTCCCCTTGTGGACTCAAAAGCAGAAGCTGAAGAAGTGTAAGCAAGCTTTTGTTATATCAAACTAAGCCCTGAAGTGTGGCCCGATTTCATCTCATTCTCCCAGCACTGTCAGGGAGAACAAGGCCTGTCCTGGGCTATCCAAGGAGGTTTGAGACTGGGCGAAGCCTAGAAGGTGTGCAGTGCCAGGACTAAGGCTCCCTTAGGCCACAGCCCTGCCCTGGCCTTGCTTGTCACTCTGGGTCTGAATGGGGGCTTCTTTGGGCTTTTTCCCTAGGTCTTAGCAACTGGACCTCAAGGTATGTCTTTTGAATTGACCTCCCTTCTGGTACTACCAATTCAAGTTATAGATACCTGAGTCTCCACCTGTTCCCGGAAAGAACCTGCCCAGTCCTTGGAGCCAGGAGCCCTGTTTTGCTCCAGAGATGAGCAATTTGGGACAAGTCGCTGCAGATCTGAGCTTTGCTTTCTCATCTGCCAAATGGAATTGATAGCATTCCCTGGGGAGCTTGAGGCTCCCCAGCTGGGAAATGATAAAAAGGGAACTGGAAATGCTAGGCTCGGAAAGTTATCGTGAGGGAGGCAGTCCATAAAATGATTTACTGCAGAAAACTCCATACATACTCTTACCATTTCTGTGACTCAGGACTGGGTAGAGGGGAGCATGCTGGGTGGCAGGGAAACCCCTGCATAACATGTTGCCCAGCTGGTCTTTCCAAGGTTCGTGAGCTTATTGGTGCAGCCTGGTTCTGAAGAGGCACTTTTAGGAGGCAGAAAGCAAGTAGGGGCAGGAGGGCTTCTCAGCCTGGCTACAGCCACTGCTCCCTTTTAGCCTTCGAGACCCTGAGTTGGAGTCTGACTCAGCTTTATGTGCCAAACATATATGCTTGGCTTTTTTTTTAATCCCTAAAACAGGATTCCCTGCCATTTCCCACCCCCAAGTCTCTCTCTCTCTCTCTCTCTCTTTTATTACTGGGAATTGAACCCTAGGGCACTTAACCACTGAGTCACATCCCCAGCTCTTTTTTATCTTTTATTTAGAGACAGTCTCACTAAGTTGCTTAGGACCTCACTAAGTTGCCAAGGCTGACTTTGAACCTTCGATCCTCCTGTCTCGGCCTCTCGGGCCACTGGGATTACAGGCCTGCACCAGTGCGCCAGGCCCAAGTGTTCTCTTTTGCTGCTGCTCACCACTGTTTCAGGGCCACTCCCAGCTGGGCATTGTTCCCAGCCTTGGGTGGCTGACTCGGTGTGGGGTGGACTCAGGACTCTGCTGCTTCCTGTGCAGAGGAACACAAGTCCTTGACCTCTGCCACAATCCTCAGACCTTCCTTTATTTTGTGTGTGTGGTGCTGAAGATTGAACCCAGGCAAACACTTTGCTAAACACTTTGCTAACTGAGTTGTATCCCCAGTCACCTGAAGTTCCTGGACCACTTCCCTTTGGCCTGAAGTCATGTGGACCCCTGTGCACAATGACTGTCATATGTGTCTGATGAATGGTGGATGCATGGGGATCGGGGTGCAGTACTAAGAGCAGCTTTTGGAGGTGAAACAATTTCTAGCCCCTGGGTGTTCTGAGGTCTCCTCCAGCTCTGTGAGATCAGATGTGCCTGGATTTGGCCTTTGGCCCTAACCCTATCTCAGTTACTGGTAATGTCCAGGTGGATGAGCAGTGTAACAGAGGTTGAGTCTGAAACATTGTTGGTGGCTTGGGCTTTCTGGGTTAAGTTCATGTGGCCTTGGTCTCTGCTTCCAGCCCTTAGGTGTGACTGTCACTGGGTTGTTCAACTGTAGATTCAAGGTCAGGTTCAGCCCTGAATATCTCTAGTGGAGTGGGAGAAGTAGAAGGAAGGGCAAAGTATGTTGAGCCAGCTTGTTGGAGGAGGGAAATGATTTCTTTTTCTAGAAGTTTCCAGCATGCTCAGTTTCATAACGGGTCTATGACTTTAATATCAGCAACGTAGCTCTGCCAATGACTAGCAATGCCATCTTGCACAGGGCGCCCATTGCTCTGTGTCTCAGTGTCCTTGTCTGTGAAGGTTGGGTGATTCCTACCCAAGGCTCATAGCATTGTTCTTAGCTTTAAATGAGTTAATGTGGGTCAACACTAGAAGAGAACCCGACGCACAGTAAACACACCATAACTGCTAGCTGCCCTTATGAGGGTGGTGGCAGTGATGATTTTTTTTTCTCCTCATTTATGTGCCCGAACATTTGTCTGAGAAAAATGTAGGAGACTTGGATATTGATATCGATGTAGGAGACTTACAGAAATAAATGAGGATGACATTATCTCCTTTCATGTGTACTTGAGTTGTTTCTGGAGGTGGCCAGGAGTCAAGCAATTCCAAACTAGCTTAATTCAACCTCAGGGCCTGAGCGATGGGCAGCTGGGCTGCAGACCTTGTGGGCTGGTTCCTCCATATTCCTAGCCTTGATGGTCCCAGCCTAGGGTGACCAGGTGAAGTGTGGACTCTATCTTTGTTCCCCTGCCTCTCTGAAGCTGACGCAGATTGCCAAGCCTCCTTCTAGAATTGGCAGATGTGTCCAGGGAAGACAACTGTAGAGGTCCAACTTACGGCTCTGGATTCCCTGCCTCAGGTTCATGGTTCGGTAGTCTTCCCCTGCTTTCCAGCATCTTTTAGCATTTCTCTCTTCTATGATATTTGTCTGCTTTTCTGGTTGTCTGAATGAATTCATCTGCCATTACTGAAGTGGCTGCCCCAGCTCCATCTGTCTCTGTGTGAGCCTGGCTGCTCGCTGTCTCCTTGCCTCGATTCCATCAGCTGTACAATGAGGAGTAGTGAAGAAGTTCAGCATCCTGGATACTGATCCTTAGTATGTCTTGACTAGGATCCTGGCACTGTGTGGGTCCACCCAGGAGCCCAGTCGCATCTGTTTCATGGTCAAGGAAACTAAGTGGGAGACAGTTGGACCACTGGGAGTTAGGACTTGAACCTGTTTTTTTTTTTTTAAATACTTATTTTAGTTATACATGGACACAATGTCTTTATTTTGTTTATTTATTTTTATGTGGTGCTGAAGATCGAACCCAGTGCCTCATATGTATGAGGCAAGTGCTCTGCCACTGAACCACATCCTCAGCCCTTGAATCTGTTTTATCTGGCTCCAAATCTTTACTTCTTTATTGACTGTACTATCCCCCTAAAAGGATGAAGGGAGGCAATAAATAGAATTCTTCAAAGAAAGACTTGCGGTGGCAGAAACAGTGGGATAGATTTAGGGGGTGGTTCCTGGTGTGGGGGCTGGGAGGGGCTGAAGAGGACCTTTCTCTCACCCTTCCTTGTTTCCTCTGCAGAAAACCCTGAGGCATAAGCTAACCGTCATGTGCAGTCATATCGGCGGGGCGACAAGAGCACTGGAGGATGTAAGAGCCAGGCAGCAGAGCTTGCGGGTGAGTAGCAGTTCCCCCCACAAATGACTCCCAGCCTCCTTTGACCTCCAGCAAAGACAGACATGGCTCTGACCTGGACAGCACTGGTTGCACGCACAAGAGTCAGAATTAAGCAGCAACCTTGCAAAACAGATGAAAAGCTATGTGCCTGAAAAAGATCCCTCACAAGCTGCAACTGAGAACTACCTGTAAGCCCAGCCAACAGTGCAGGAGTGATTACAAATCAGGTTTAGCGCTAGGGATGTAGCTCAGTGGTAGAGCATTTGCCTAGCATATGTGAGGTCTCTGGGTTCAAGAAAAAAATTTTTTTGAACAAGTAAAAAGAAATATTAGATATTCAAAGACTCTGTCCCCAAGCCTTCTGTTTTATTGCAGCAGCTGTGAGTTTGTTAGATGAGATGTGGTTATAATACCAACTCTATTATGTACTAGCTTTTGTGGCCTGGGGCACCATGGCAGATCTTAGAGCCTTAGTTTTCTGTTCTGATCAGTGGAATCACAACTCCTCACAAAAGATCCAGAATTGCACAAAGTGCACTTTGTTAGGGACTTGTGGAGAGAAGTGTGTCTTGGGTAGCAGCAAGACAGGAGGACCCCCAAACTCCAAGGCGGGGGGAATGGGTTTATGTGCTAAACTAGGCAAAAATGGCCCGAGGCTAACTGGAATGCACCTGTCCTTTCGTAGAAACTATCACCATGCCCAACATCTGTTAAGTAATGAATGGTCTAGGGGGTTGGGGGCTTTAGCTCAGTGGTAGAGCACTTGCCTAGTGTGTGTGAGGCACTGGGTTCGATCCTTAGCACCACATAAAAATAAATAAAGGTTTAAGAAAAAATGAATTTTTTTTTTCCTTCGGTCATGCTGGGGATTGAACCCAGGGCCTTGTGCATGTGAGACAAGCACTCTACCAACTGAGCTATATCCCCAGCCCTTTAAAAAAAAAAAAGTATTTAAAAAAATACTTAAGAGAAAGAAAAAAAAAAACCAATTTAGGCATTAGTGGCCAGCACAACATGCTTGGCTGACTACCATAATGACTTTGACCCTTAGGGTTTGGGATGTGTGCCAAACTGGCATTTATTATGACCAAGATAACAGAAGTCACGTCAGGCTGGCTGTCTCCACTGGGTCCCCATTACGTCTTTGTTATAGCCTAGAAAGGGGGAACAGGAAGATGACAAGTGGTTTCCTTCTCTTGTCTCCTTTTAAGCAAGAGACACAGTATGGCACACATAACTTCCCTCATGGGAAAGAGCTTGGTTATATTGCAAAGCCTAGCTTCTAGAGAGTGTGGGAAATGTAGTCTGGGTGGCTTCGTGCCCACCTGAAACTCCAAGGGTGTTCTCTTCCTAAAGGAAAAGGTGAGCGTGAACATTGGAGCGCACTGGTAGTAGTCTGTCCCTCCCTGTGTGTTTGTCACGTTGGATGCTGAGCTGTTGAAGTTATCCAAGATGTTAAGGCTCCTAAAGCAGCACGAACAAATACAATGGAAACCTTCCACGTGATTTTAAATTAACATGAGAAACACATGAAATCATTTCATTTTGATTTTTTTTTTTTTTTTTTTTGCAGCACAGAGAATCAAACCCAGGACATCATATGTGTTAGGCAGGCACTTTGCCACTGACTTACATTCCCAGGATACAATTCATGCTGGGCACAGTGGTGCATACCTGTAATCCCAGCGGCTCTGAGGCTGAGGCAGGAGGATCATGAGTTCGAAGCCAGCCTTGGCAATTCAGTGAGACCCTGTCTCTAAATGAAAAAATGAAAAGGACTGGGGGTGAAGCCCAGTGGTTAAGCATTCCTGGGTTCAGTCCCTGGCACCATAAATAAACAAACTAATAAATAAAATGTGTTAGTAAGATATTTTGCATTCCTGTTTTGGGTCCTATGTCTTTGACCTCTGATGTGCATTTCAAACTTATAATACACTTCTCAACTTATACTTGTCACATTTCATTTTTTTTCCCTGTGATGGGATCTTGTTATGTTGCCCAGGCTGGCCTTGAATTCCTGGGCTCAAGCAATCCTCCTACCTGAGCCTCCTGAGTTGCTGGGACTATAGGTATACATTGCTATACCCAGCTTGGTTTTTACTGTTTTCAAACAAGGCTGCTTATGAACATTCTTTTTTTTTTTTAATTTTTTAGTTGTAGATGGACACAATATCTTTTTTTATTTGTTTGTTTGTTTTTATGTGGTGCTGCGGCTTGAACCCAGTGCCTCACACCTGAAGGCAGGCGCTCTACCACTGAACTACAGCCCCAGCCCCTGAACATTCCTTTTTTTTTTTTTGTACTGAGGATTAAACCCAGGGGTGTTTAACCACTTAGCCGCATCCCTAACCCTTTTTTTTTTTTAAATATTTTTTAGCTGTCAATGGACCTTTTATTTATTTATATGTGGTGCTGAGGATCGAACCCAACGCCTCACACTTGCTAGGCAAGTGCTCTTACCACTGAGCCACAATTCCAGCGGCCCCCCCCCCTTTTTAAATATTTTTTAGCTGTCAATGGACCTTTTATTTATTTATTACCCTTTTAAATATTTTATTTAGAGACAGGGTCTTTCTAAGTTGCTGAGACTGGCTTTGAGCTTCTGATCCTCCTGCTTCAGCCTCCTGGACTGCTGAGATTAATAGGTGTGTGCCACCGCACCTGGCTTATGAACATTCTTGTGTGTGTCTCTGGAGTAGGTGTCCAAGAATTTTTCTAGAGTGTAAACCTAGGATTAGAGCTGGGTCTGGAGTTGTGAGCACTTCATATTGAATAGGTGTTGCCCAGTGGCGCCCCAAGGCTGTCATGCCAGTTTGTGCTCCCAATGGCGCCCCAAGGCCGTCATGCCAGTTTGTGCTCCAACAGAGTGCAGGCGCGAGGACCTAGAGCCCTCATCCCACTGACACTTGGGGCTGCAACCTTAGCCTTTTTGCCTGATGGGAGTCCTCTTGCCTTGGGCCTTTTAGGAGGCTACAAACAAGAAGATGGAGCAGGTGAGACAGGAATACAAGGAAATGAAGATTCTCATTGAGGCCTCCGAGGCCAGCGCCACACGCAAGCTAAAGGAAGAAGAGAAGAGGGTTGTCAACAAGTTTGACTCCATTTACCAGATTCTCCTCAAGAAGAAAAATGAGATCCAAACCCTGAAGGAGGAGATCGAGAGCAGCCTGGTGAAGAGGGACGAGTTCGAGTTTCTTGAGGTGGGTGTGTCAAAGACCCCTTCTGCCAGTTTGTGTTCCCACAGAGTGCAGGCAGGATACCTAGAGCCCTCACCGGGGTGTGGTTACAGATGCACCTGGAGCATTGGAAGCATCCCCGAGACACCTGCTGTGTTCATTTTCTCGCTGAGCCACAACTTATCCCAAACTGAGGCGCTTAGGAGAATTTATATTTACTCTGAGTTTCCCTGGCCCAGGATCTGGGTATGACTTTGTGACTTGTCTGCTTAGGGTCTTTCAGGGTCACAGTCTGGGTGTTAGCTGGACTGTATTGATTTGGAGCTTAGGGTTATCTTTCAGGTTCACCTGTTGTTGGCAGAATTTACTTCCTTATAGTTGTAGGATTTAGGCCTCTATGTTCTTCCTCCCCCCCCCCCCTTCCTTCCTTCAATTGAACCCAGGGACACTTTAACCACTGAGCCACAGCCCACTTTTGTATTTTTTTTATTTTTTATTTTTTGTAGTTGTAGATGGACAGAATGCCTTTAATAAAGACAGGGTCTCACTGAGTTGCTTAAGGCCTCATTAAGTTGCTGAGGTTAGCTTTGAACTCAAGATTCTCCTGCCTTAGCCTCCCGAGCCACTGGGATTACAGGGGTGAGCCACCATGTCCGCACTACTTTAGTGCTGGCTGTCCGCCGAGGCCTTCTCTCAACTTTGCAGTTTATTATGTCAAGTCAGCAGGAAAATTTCTCCATCTAGGGAGTCCCTGTTCCTCTTTTAAGGGCTTTTTTTTTAATATTTATTTTGTAGTTGTTGTTGAACACAATACCTTTTTTAAAAAAAAAATTTATTTTTTAGTTGTAGTTGGACTCAATATCTTTATTTATTTTTATGTGGTGCTGAGGATTGAACCCAGGGCCTCCCGTGTGCTAGGCGAGCGCTCTACCACTGAGCCACAACCCCAGCCCCTTTTAAGGGCTTTTATCTGCAGCTGCCTGGCCTGTATGAGAAAGGCTCAGTCCACATCTATCTGGTCCCTTTGGTACTATAGGACTCAACTTAGTGACTCTCCTTTCCCAGCGAAGCATCCCTGTCCATCATCAGGTCTGGGATTAGGGCTGCTTCTCTAGAGAGGAAAGGTCCTGTGTCTTCTGTGCTTTGACAGCCACACCTGGCAGAGCGGACGTACCTCAGGAGACCTCTGTCCCAACTGAGTTTGTGCCACCCGGTCACACATAGGTGTGACCATACACACATAGGTGGTGTGGGCAGGCCACTTGTCATGTCTAGACCTCAGTTTCTCCATCTGTAAGAGGAGTGTCCTTTGAGATCTATTCTAGCTCTAGGTCTTAAAGGGGTACTTTAAAGCCTGGTGACCTTGGACCTGAAATTTGAGCAGGCCTGTTGGACTTCAAACCTGCAATCACAGGAAGCTGCTCAAGGGATCGGTGAGGACTGAGCTCAGGTGCTGGCTTCCCCGGAGCTACCTGCCCTCAACCTCTTGGTTTGTTGCAGAAAGCGTCAAAACTGCAAACAGTCTCTACGAAGCCAGTCTACATCCCCAGGGTGGAGCTGGACCATGAGCTGATCAAGGGTGTCTACCAAGGTGCCTTAGAGGTCAAAAACCAGCTAAGGCAGTCCCTGGCACAGTCCCAGGAGAAGAAGCCCGAGGAGCCCATCAGCTCAGGTAACTTCAGCAGCAACCACGCAGAGTCCTGAACCCTGTGGGTCTCTGCCTCAGAGTGGGAGAGGGGGCATGGTCCAGAGCTTGGGAGCACGTTTCAGAGGTCCCGAAACAGCTGCCTGAGATTAGAGGAGTCTCTGCTTCATCCTGACATCATAGCTACCCCTTTAAAAAGACTTGGGAGCTCTATGATCTGATGGGATTCTTTGGATGGGCTTCTTTTTGTCTGATCTTGAGGCCAACTCCGATAGGTTTTGAATGGATGCTGATTGTGAGTGTGTTTGGTGGGGAAGTGGCTAGTTTGGGGGTCAGAGAAACTGGAATTCCCCCTTGACACCCCTTTTCTTCCCCCATATCCAATCCATAGCCAGATTTCACCTTTTTTTGAACTCAGGGGCACTCAACTACTGAGCCACATCTCCAGCCCTATTTTGTATTTTAGAGACAGGGTCTCACTGAGTTGCTTATAGGGCCTCGCTTTTGCTGAGGCTGACTTTGATCTCATGATCCTCCTGCCTCAGACTCCCAAGCTGCTGGGATCACAGGCATGTAGCACCTTGCCTGGCCTGTGCCTATTTCTTGTTGAAGCCTGGTCTGCAAGAGGAGGGAGGGGAGAGAGAAGAACTAGCAGGCAAGAAACTAATGCTGACAGAGCCTTCACTACCTGCCAGGAGCTGTGGTCTCATTCAGGGGTTCAATAAACCACGAGTGAGTTGGAGTCATCCCCATTGCCAAAGTTATAGAGGTCTCAGAGGTTGTAGAGATGAGTGACACACAGAACTGCTCCTTCTATTACCTTTTTATTCTCTCTTGCAAGTAATTGGACGGGAAGTCAGAAATAGCTGGTTATGCTGGGTGCCGCGGTGCACATCTGTTTCCCAGAAACTGGGGAAGATGAGGCAGGAATATCGCAAGTTCCAGACCGGCCTCGGCAAGGCCCTGTCTCAAAAAATTAAAAAGGGCTCTGTGGCATGTGCCTGTAATCCCAGGGGATCCGGAGGCTGAGGCAGGAGGATCTCAAATTCAAAGCCAGCTTCAGCATCTTATCGAGGCACTGAGCAACTCAATGAGGCCCTGTCTCTAGATAAAATATTTTTAAAAAGGGCTGGGATGTGGCTCAGTGTGGTTAAGGGCCCTTGGGTTCAATCCCTATTATCAAGAAAGAAGAAGAGAAGGAGGGAAGGAAAGACTGGCTGGCTGTATAAATGCTCTCTTCTCCCTCCATGGCAAAGTTGGCTTCTGAGGTTGGGGTGGGAGGAGGAGCCACATACATTCAGTCCTTCTCTGGCACAGATGACTCTGGAGACCGTGGCACCCAGTCTACAAACAAACCCTCGAACCCTGGGAAAAAGTCCTCACGTAAGTAGCCCCACCTCGTTCCTGGCGTCTGCATGGCTGTGACTGGCTGGTGCTTTGGCTGACACAGGGGTCATCACTCCTTCCAGATGGCCGTAGCTCATTCCACACCACCACAGGGCCTGGGGCCTCTGTTGGATACAAGTTTGGCTACAGACCCAGAGGAAGGGCAGTGCAGGGCTGCACTGCTGCAGGAGTGCCCTTGGGCCAGGAAGGAGGGCTTGTCCACCTGCATTGGATATTTGGGCTGTCTGGAATGGAAGGTTATCAAAGCTGGTGTTTGTTTAAAAACATTGGCTACACCCAAGTCCTGCTGGCCTTTGGACAGAGCCCTAGAGGAGATGAGATGGACCGTGTCCTGATGAGCAGAGGAGGCCATACTCTCTCAGTCTTTGCTCTGTAATATGCTTCAGCATTTCTTGCCCCTTTTCAATATTGCCCCTCTCCTTCTCCTCCACTGAGCCAAGTTGGAAAAATGACAGAATGACACTCTAGAAAATTTTCAGAGCCATGGAAGTTAAACTCAGGAATGAATTGAAGTTCTTCTATGTTGAAAGCGGCTCAGAATAAACTGGCTGATGTGAGGGAGTAGGTAGGGAGAGAGCAGACCTGTCACTGTAAAAACACCTGAGAGAGGTGACTATCGGGAAGGAGCCTGTGCCTTAGGCTGCGTCCCAAGGTGCTGGTCTTTTGGGAGTGGGTTGGGGAGGGGTAGAGGTGAGGAAATGGGGCTCCTGAGAGAGACTGTGAAGTGTGTGGGAAAGGGGGCATGGAGCCATGTGGGGCCCAGGGGATCTGGCGAGGGGTGGGGGGTGGGGGGGGTGGAAGCCATCCGGAGAAGCTCAGCCTGTCTGTATGTAAAGTATCCCTGGCAGTATTTTCCCAGTGATGGGCAAGGTGACAGAGGGATGGATCCTTCTAGAAGCCCACTTGAATGTGCTCTGGGATCACTTGGGGCTTGCACACCACAGATGTCTGGGTCCCACCCCTGCACTTTCTTGCGGGTCTGGGGTGGGGCCCAAGATTTTGCTGGCGTTTTTTACAGGATACTAGGTGACACAGGTACTGCTGGTTTGGGAACCACACATGGAAAATCAGGGTTTTAGTCCACTCATTTCCTATAGGCATACACTCCAAATATATATATATATTTTTTAGGTGTAGATGGACACAATCTTTATTTATTTTTATGCATTGGTGAGTGAGGATCAAACCCAGCCCCTCGCATGTGCTAGGCAAGTGCTCTACCACTGAGCTACAACCCCAGCCCAAATATTTTTAAAAGACTGTTGTGATATTTGATAAGTTTTTATTTTGGACAGACTTCTTGTTTCTTTGTTATTTTAAGCTGTAGATAGACACAATACCTTTATTTTTATGTGGTGCTGAGGGTAAAACCCAGTGCCTCATGCCTGCTGGGCAAGCGTTCTACCGCTGAGCTACAACTCCAGCCCCTTAATTTTTGTTTTGTTTTTACAATACTGGGGGGTTGAACCCAGTGGCACTCTTGTCACCAAACTATACCCCCAGCCCTCTTTTATTTATTTATTTATTTTTGGTACTGAGGATTGAACCCAGGGGCACTTTACCACTGAACCACATCCCTAACCCTTTTTTATGTTTTATTTACAGACAGGGTCTCACTTAAGTTGCTTAGGGGCTCACTAAGTTGATGAGGCTGGCCTTGGAACTTGCCATCCCCCTGTTTCAGCCTCCTGAGAGTATAGACTATATTATTTAGAGACAGGGTCTTGCTAAGTTGCTGAGGCTGGCTTTGAACTCATGATTGTCCTTCCTCAGCTCCTGAACCACCGTATTTACAGGTGTGCACCACAACACCCAGATCTTTAAAAAAATTAAAACATCCCAGCTTTATTTGAAGTGTTATGGCATTGTGCTTTAAGATAGATCAATTGTGAAATTTTCTTTTTCAGAAGAAAAGAAAACCAAGAAACACAGTAAGTTGGGTTCACCCCTAGCTTCTAGCACTGACATTGGCGCTACTGCTGCCTCTGCCTCGTCCAGCCAGACTTTCATCTTCGGAGCCCCTGGACAGTCAGTGGAAATGAAATCATCCCTGGATGGTGCGTCATCATGACCAAGGGCCAGTGGGGTGTCCGCTCTGAATTTGCCCTGAAAACTGCTCTCTGTTTCCTCTCCCAGATGCAGCCAAAACCACCACCTTGCCAAGTGCCGTGACCATCAAGACCAAGGTGCTGGAAAACTTCTTAGCCAAGACCAGATCTGAGCTCTTAGAGTGTGAGTAGCTTGGTGGTGGGAACGGAAGAGCCGGTGAGGGGGTGAGTGGGGGGGATCCAACAATCTAATAGGTAGTATCAGGGGAAGATCTAGGAGAGCTTGAGGGGACCCCTCGTAATTCCCAGCTTGGGGTGGTGTCTTCTCAGATTTTGTTAAGGTCATCTTGGACTACAACACCGCCCACTACAAAGTGGCTCTGACCGAGAACTACACCACCGCCTCTGTGGCCGATGCGCCCCAGATGTACCGGCCGCACCCCCAGCGGTTCACGTACTGCTCTCAGGTGCTGGGTCTGCACTGCTACAAGAAAGGGATCCACTACTGGGAGGTGGAGCTGCAGAAGAACAACTTCTGTGGGGTGGGCATCTGCTATGGCACCATGGACCGCCAGGGTCCCGAGAGCCGTCTGGGCCGCAACAAAGCCTCCTGGTGCGTGGAGTGGTTCAACAACAAGATCTCCGCCTGGCACAACAACACGGGGAAAACGCTGCCCCCCACCAAGGCCACGCGGGTGGGCGTGCTCCTCAACTGTGACCACGGTTTTGTCATTTTCTTTGCTATCTCTGACAAGATCCACATGATGTATAAATACGTCGTGGACTTCACCGAAGCTCTGTACCCGGCCTTCTGGGTGTTCTCGGCGGGTGCCACGCTCTCCATTTGCTCCCCAAAGTAGGCAGGCCCTTGGGCCGGCTGCCTGAGGAGCACTCAGGTGGGACTCCTTGGAGAACTTCCCTGAGTTCCCTGGGAGGATGGGGAGGGAGCCGGTGGGAGGGTGGGAGATGGGATGGGAGGAAGGAGGTAGCCAGGGGAAGAGGGTGGGGTGATTGTGTTGTGGATAGGAAGCTTTTCCTTCTACTTCCTGGTGCCCATCTGGGCAGGGCCACCTCCTTCTGACTGTTTCAGGAAATCTCCAGGCTGCTGGGGAACCTGGGTAGAGTTTTGGGAAGTCAAGTCATTAGTGCCCCAGTTGCTCTTGCGGAAGATATATACTACTCATGGCAGTTTCCTTCTTAGGCCAGGGGCTGACTCCTGCTCTCTGGGGTAGCCTTCTGACTTCTAGAGTCATTGAATTTCGATATATATATTTTTTCTCTTTTCGGTGCTAGGGATTAAACCCAGAGCCTCGCACATGCTAAGCCCAGGTTCTGTCAACGGGCCACACCCCCAGGCTGAATTTCAATATTATATTCTCTCAGCTCTCTGCATGTTAGGCTCTGTCTCCTGGCTGTTATCTGTGCTGGAGGGAAACCATGGGTAGCCGTTCTCCACCTAGACCAGAGTGTCCCAGAGAAACAGTGGTTTCCCTCCGATGAAGGACAGCCCTGCTTCCCGCCTTATCATGTTCCCTTCATGACCCCATCCATGATTTTAAAATCTTCATTTGAGGGCTGGGGGTGGGGCCCAGCATGTTAGCACTTGCCCCTGGGTTTGATGACCAGCACCTCCCCCCCCAAAAAAAAAGTTCAGTTGAACAGCCTGTGTTGAATTTGTGGTTGAGGGAAGGTCAAGGTGACCCAGATCTACTTGGAATGGATATGGCTTCCAGCCTTAACAAGGGACATCTGGTCAAAAGCTTTGGCTGTTGCTACAGAGCCTTGCTGGAGGTCTTGTTTCCTCCAATGGCTTGGGCTACATGGCAAGACGGACCCTGGCCTGGGTTAACAGAGGTGGGGTGGCTTTGCTGTTACTACGGCGTCTTGCCATGACAGCTCTCCTTGGCAGTAGCATTCCCTCCCCCACAGTGTAGACATTGGACTGCCTGCTGCAGATGCCACTGTGGCTAACTCAGCCACGCACCCAGCCCACAGCAAGCATCTGAAGTCTGCCACCACCATTCAGGCCATGCATGGCTGCTGCATGGACCATACTCAGTCACCTATTGGGGTGGCTACCTATGACCAAAGGGCCTTTTAGCAGGCCCAGCAGGAGATGGCAACATTCCCATTTATTCCTGGCCATGGGCTACAGACACAGCTCTGGCCCTCTCCTCAATCCTGTTGTTGACCTTGGTTCCTTCTGCTATCTTCCTCATTTGAGCCCATTCCAGATACTCAAATTGACCAGGTTAGAGGTCAGGAAGACTTGTTTGAGGATCAGGAGAGGAATGAGCTAAAGAGGGTCAGATAAGTGGCTATTTTCCCTGTAGTGTTTTATGCAGTGAAAATAACCCAGTACATTAAGGGGCAGGAGTGAATGGATTTCAGAATTTCCCCCAAACTCCTTATATCCTGCTGTCAGGATGGAAGTTTCAACCCCAAAAATGTGAGGGGAGCTTCCTGAGTCTGGCTTCTTAAGAAGTCACCATTGGGGAAAATAGGGACTCCAGACCTTATATATAGATATTTGAGAATTTTAACAAATCTCAGGCCTTGTGCTGGAATTCCTGGGAGACTCCGAGCAGCACTTGAGATTCCTGACAGATGTATGATCCATCATCTCCCAATGATCTCCATTCCTTGGGAGAAAAGATAATCGTCTTAGGGAAGATTTCCCTGCCATAGCTGGTATGTGTGACTTTCAAAGTTTTCTTACTGGCTGGGCATGTTGACACATGCCCGTAATCCCAGCGACTTGAGAGGCTGAGGAAGGAGGATTGCAAATTTGAGGCTAACTTTAGCAACTTAATGAGTAACTTAGCAAGACCTCAGTAACTTGGCAAGACCTTGTCTCAAAGTAAATGAAAAGGGCTGGGGGTGTAGCTCAGTGGTAGAGCACCCCTGGGTTCAATCCCTAGTACCCTCCTCCCCCCAACAGAAGTTTTCTTCCTTGCTACATAGAAGAAAAGTTCTTTGAAGCTTCTCTACTTCAAAGGTGTTCACAAGTATCTTTGTTGATCTGGAGTCAATGCATACTTGAGAAACAGCTGGGCTCAGAGGAGTAGAAAGTGCAAGAAGAATCCAGGACTCCTGCTAGGGCTCTCCTCTGCAGAAATGAGGGGGCGCTTCATGGCAAATGAGCAGCAGGAGTCCCTCTGCATCTAGGTGACTAGTGCTTAGCTCTGTGCAAGGTCGTTGGAGATGTGACCTGAGGAGTGCGTGTTAGCTGTCCTGACCCACCCACTCCATTTGCTGTGGTAAAACTTTACATTATCCAGCCTTGCGGGGCCACTGCGTGCACTGAAGACCCTAGAGTGGGAGGAACTTTTGTATCCATCTGTCTTCTCATTTTTCAGAATAAGATGAGAAGGTAGAGGATGACTATTCTGCACTTGTACCATTCCATCATGGAGGAAATAACTCCTCACCTGTGTGATGGGGAAACCCTGGTATCCTGCAGAAGTATCCAAAATTCCCAGAAATACTAACATGAAATCAAAATCCTATCTTAGTCGGAGATACTGGGAACTGGCCTCCATCACCCTGGTCATGATAAACCAAAGGTTAAGGTCAGGTCTTTGTGTTATTCAAGACTGCCTGGCCAGTTATATCTGTTTTAATTACTCTTCAATCAAACTGTGATCTGTATCTAATACTGATATGTTATCTCTTACCTGACTCCCCCACACCCTTACTGATTTTAATTAATGTCTGTCATTTTTTGAAAAAAATTTTAGTTGGTTCTTTTTATGTGTGTAGGTGGGTACTAGGGATTGAACCCAGGGGCACTTAACCACTGAGCCACATTCCCAGCCATTTTTACTTTTAATTATGGGATAGGGTCTTGGTAAGTTGCTTAGGACCTTGCTGTGTTGCTAAGGCTGGTCTTAAACTTTTGATCTTCCTGGCTTGGCTTCCTGAGTCACTGGGATTACAGGCTTGTGACACTGTGCCCAGCTTTATTTTATTCTTTAAGAACATACAGCTAGGGGACTGGGGTTGTGACTCAGTAGTAGAGCACTTGCCTCATACCTGTAAGGCCCTGGGTTCAATCCTTAGCACCATGTAAAAATTGTGTCCACCTACAACTAAAAATCTAAAAGAAAAATTAAAAAAAAGAAAAAGAAAATACAGCTATAAACGGGGCTGATGCGTCTTAGAAATTTTGAATGCAATAAAGTGTTTGGTGTGTATTTTCTCGCACCTTGGTGCAGACAGGTAAAAAACAATCCTGTCCATCATGCTGGACTCAACAGATGATGTGTACCATGCCTGAAGGCTACCGCCAAGTGGCCCATTTGTCCAGATTCCACCCAGCCACTCCCAGACCTCTGAGTCCTGGATAAAGAGTTCTCAGACTGATAGAATGTCTGATCTCGGCTTCCGGAGAATGCCAGGGTGAAGGATCAATGAAAGGATAAGCCACACAAGAAAAATGGGTGAATGGTGTTGCAAATGGAGGGCTCACTGTTTTCTTCTTTCTACTGTTGCCTACATTTCAAAAAATTGCGTAATAAAAAATGAAGCAGAAAACAGCCCAGATCATTTTGCAAGCCCTGTTTTAGTGGGTTTTAACCTTGTTTGGGTAGGAGGTGTGCATTCGAAGTTATTGTATATTAAAGAATTTAACTGGTTTTTCTTCCTGGTTACTCAGAGGAGGGATTTGAAATCTTTGGAATTTTCTGAGTAGGAGGAGTGTCTGTTGTTTCCGAGCCCCTTGGATGGCACCTGAGTTTGTACTAAGAAATGAGATGACTTAGGATGTGATGAGAGGGTTGGGCCCTTGAGCCAGCTGACTCAAGGAGGGGAGGGCAGGGCAGGGGTTCTGGGGATAGAGTTCAGTAATGTGGCCAATGATCCAGTGATTTACTCAGTCCTACCTACATAATGAAATTCCAGTAAGATAACCTGGACACAGATGCTCAGTGGACTCCCGGGTTGAGCACCTGGCTGGGCTGGGAGGATGAGGGCCCCTGATTCCATGAGGACATGGCAGGGAAACTTTGTATCTGAGACACTCCCAGACTTTGCCCTGTATTTTTGTCTGGTTCTGATTTGTCCTTTATAAATAAAATTGTAATAAATATAATGCTTTCCTGCTTCTGTTGTTACTTGACCCTGATCTTGTACTGCCTAGGTGAGCCAGCTGAATTTCTGCCCCTTCTATATAATCTTTTTTGTCTTTGAGGAACGGATACTTGTGTTATACTCCAGGCTCTATGGGCAGTGACCAAACAGACTGCATTTTACCCTGAGACTCCATGTCATACAAAAAATGCTTCTCCCTTGGGATCACCCCGCCTCTGTACCCATCAGCAGTTGCTTAGTATAGCATGTTTGGCAACACAAAATGGCAGTTCTTATACAATGTAAAATTGTTCTGTTTTTGTTTCCCATTTTTCTTGGGCAATGTACCCTGTCAGAGAATGTTTGGACGTGAGTAAACGTTTTTTCACTTGTACTTAACACAGGGTCATTTTGACCACTTCCCCTTCTGCTTATGATTTTAGATCTCATGATGTTTGTTTCTGGCATTGAATCATAGCAACAGCCACTTAAGATTAATGTGGTTTTGGAATATAAAGGTGCGCTCGAGGAGGTCAAAGGGTGTAGACTTGCCGCCTGCCCCTGGGCCCTCCAGCTGCGGAATCCCGAACACTAGCAGGGGAATAAAGATGGTTCCATTTTCTGCTCTAAGATTGACTCAGGTGATTTAGAATAATCTCACCATAACACCTGCAGGCTAGAAGTTCCTCTTCACGTAGGCTTGCCAAAACTGGGTGGATCTAAGACAACTGCTAGAATGATCCCAGACAACCTCTAACTTGATTTATAATCCCATTTGCATGCTAAATGACACCCCCCACAATGCACCATGAGCACCATGACAGTTGACAACTGCCAACTGCCGTGAGGATGACTGAAAAGAACTATGAAAGGAGGGAAATGAGGTGGTCCTAGAATTCCCAGATCGTCCCCAGCCACCCCCAGAACATCAGTGAATTTTGTTCCCATTTATTGGCTCTTCCTCTCATGTCCTTAACCCTCTATCTGTAGCCTCCTGACCCCCAACTTCTCTTCGCCAGGAATGAACCCCTCGGGGCTCAATATGCATCCATCTTTTTATTGGTTCCACATTCTCAGAGAGACAAAGGACCCCGTTTAGGATCAAATATTGGTGACACTGCTCTCTAGCGAATTACTCAATCTGAGGGAGGTCACAGTAATCTCCTGGCCTGGGATCCCCAGAGTGGGGCTGATGTCTGAAGTGAGGACCATCTTGGGCTCTATCCCTCTCCTGTGGCACCTGATCTAACTCTGGGTGGCTATGGGCCCATTGTACTGCGGTACACCTGTCAGAACAGATGATGGGACCAGCTAGCTTTGAATAAGCCCCTTTGACCAACCTGTCAGAACAAAGTCTGCTGGTGTGTGTGTGTGTGTGTGTGTGTGCGCGTGCACTCTTAATACTGGGGGTTGAACCTGTTATGGCTTAGATGTGGTGTCCCCCAGAAAGTCATGTGTGGGATGATGCAAGGTTTGGAGGAGAAATGATTGAACTCTAGCATTAACCTAACCAGCAAATTAGTCTCTGATGGGATTAACTTGGTGGTGGCTGGGGGCAGGTGGGGTGTGGCTGGAGGAAGTGGTTCATTGGGGGCGTGCCTATGGGGTATATATTTTGTATCTAGAGAGGGGAATCTCTCTCCCCCTCCCTCCCTCCCTCCCTCTCCCCCTCCCCCTCCTCTCTCCATTCTTCCCTCCTCCTCCCCTGTCTCTCTCCTTCCTGATCATGTGAGGTGCTTTCTTCTGCCATGATGTTCTGCCTCACCTCAAGCATCTAGGAATGGAGCCAGCCTTCTATGGACTAAGACCTCTGAAACCGTGAGCTATCAAATTTTCTTTCCTCCTCTACAGTTGTTCTGGTCAGGTCTTTGAGTGGCAGAAGCAAAAAAGCTGATTAAAACAGGATCCCGGTGTGCTTTACCACTGAGCTATATCTACCTCTTGTCCATTTTTTTTTTTCAATTTTTATTTATTTATTTATTTTTTAATATCTTTAGTGTTTAGTTGTAGATGGACAATACCTTTATTTATCTTTATGGGGTGCTGAGGCTCAAACCCAGTGCCTCACACATGCTAGGCGAGTGCTCTACCACTGAGCCACAACCCCAGCCCCTTACTTGTTATTTTTAGTTCTTGCTAATTTGCGGATGCTGGCCTGGGACTTGGGATCTGCCTGCCTCGGCCTCCTGAGTCACTGGGATGACAGGTGTGCGTGCTGTTCTTTAATGTCCCATGTTTTCTTCTCTCTCATCCCCGCCTCCTCTTGCAGCTTTTTCTCCTCACTGTAGCCACAAAAGTGCTCAGAATGTCAGTGACAGAATGGCCCTCCCATTCAGAGATAGCACTTCCAGTGGCCTGGGACACTTTCTAATTTCTAAGGACATTCAGGGTAGGGCTGGGGATATAGCTCAGTTGGTGGAGTGCTTCCCTCACACGCACAAGGCCCCAGCACCACACACACACACACACACACACACACACTCACACACTCACACTCACACACAGTTCAAGGTAGTAATCTATGACTCCTTAGTAAAACACAGCCAAGCTGGGAGTGCTTGTGTATGGGTGGGGGGCTATTTCAAAGTCCCCTGTGGTCTCTTGGAGTGGTCCACTGGCCAGGGTTGAACTGACTCTCTCATGGGTGTTACATGTTTTCCCACCAGTTCTCCCTTCCTTCCTTCCTTTTCTTTCCTTCTCCCTCCTTCCTTTTTTTTTTTTTATGGGGAATTGAACCCAAGGATCCTTAACCACTGAGCTACATCCCCATCCTTTTTTTTTTTTTCTTGAGACAGTTTCTCGCTAAGTTGCTTAGAGCCTAGCTAAGTTGCTAAGGCTGGCTTTGAACTAGAGATCTTTCTGCCTCAGCCTCCTGAGCTCCTGGGGTTACAGGTGTGAGCCACTCCATCCAGCCCCAGGTGGTCTTGCGATGTCTGTAACATCAGGAATAATGGATGGATCCCCAGTTGTCATTGACCTTGGAGTGCTAGGCTACTCCCATTGTATTGACTCCAATCCCAACACGCTTACTTCCCGGAGCCTAAAACAGCAGGTCTAAGAGTGAAGGGGAGGGAAAAGAGGCACCGAGAGAGGCCTGTGGAAAGGGAGAACGTGGCACAGATGCATGAAAGAAGAAAATGGGGGTCCCTCAGCTGATTGGGCCTGACGGACTCCATCCTGGCGCTCTCTGACTCCATTCCAAGGCTTCAGTGCTTTTTCTCTGAGCCACTTCCTCTTGCAATTATCTGCATTCCAGGAATAGGCCTGATGGATAAGCATCACTCTGACAAAGGACTGAAACTACTTCAAAGCAACAGCCTGGAAGCACAGTTCAACCCACCATAGACATGATGAGACATCTCCCGGAGCCTGAGCAGTGATGCCATATCAGAGCCGAGGTTGCCCCCTGAGCAGGAGTAATCTTCTCGTGATCAGAACAGAACCATCCCTCCAGCCATGGTGACCTTTCCAGAGCCATACAGAACCAGTCCTGAGATAATGATCAACCAGAATGACCTGACCAGGACGACCTCCCCAGCAGCTATGCAAACCTCCTTCATTGCCCTTTTCTGTAAAACCACAAAGTTTCTGTCAGTCCCTGGAAGACAGATCTTTGGTCACTGTGCCCCAGTGTCGGTTTGTCCCAGTGTGGCTGTGTTGAAAAACTCCTTTCCTGGGCTGAGCTGGGGATGTCCTTCCATGGTAGAGCACTTGCCTGGTATGTTGCAAAGCCCTGGGTCCCATGGAGAGAGAGAGAGAGAGAGAATGCTCCAGAGCCAGTTCTCCCTTTCTCACCCTTCACCACGATTCATCTCTTTGATTGGCATATAGGGACAAGTGGCCAAGTTTGTCTCTTGGCACCCCCAGGGCCAGTGTCTTTGCCCAAGGACACTAGTAACAGTGCTCGATTTCAGCGATGCTGTCTCTGTGACAGAGTCGGCATTCACACCACTGTTTGTAGAATTGATTTTGGTTGACAATGGCATCCTGAGAACTCACCCCTTAGTCCCTTCTGCAGGTGGCCTCCGGGTTCTATGCCTCTCCATTCTTGGGCTGGGGCCTGTAGGCGATTCCAGCATGGAGGGAACATACTGGGTAGGTCCTCCTGCCTGGCGCAGCAGGGTGATCCCTGAACCTTGTGAGCTTCAAGTTTTCCTTCAGATCTTAACAGCTGACTAAAATCATCTTGATGTGCTTCTGCTGTTTCCACATTTCCTAAAAACAAACACAGAGTACAGCAGTGTGGTACACTGGGCGTGGTGGCACACCCTTGTAATCCCAGTGACTCAAGAGGCTAAGGCAGGAGGATCACAAGTTCAAGACCGGCCTGGGTGATTTAGCAAGATCCTTTTTAAATAAAATTTAAACTAGGGTTTAATCCCTAGTACCAGAAAACAAAAGCAAAGTACAGCATTGTTAGATGCCACCCTGAGCTGCTTACGGCCGACTCTGCCTCAACTGGTGGCGGCATGAGTGAGGGGATTTCAGGAGAGCACAAGAATTCTGGAGCCTGATGAACGTGGGTTTGCAATCTGGGTCTTCTAACCAGCTGTCCATCTCTGGGAAAGACTGAACCTGTCTAGGCTGTTTTTTTTTTTTTTTTTTTTTGGTTCCAGGGATTGAACTCAGGGGCACTTGACCACTGAGCCACATCCCCAGACCTTTTTTTTTTTTTTTTTGTATTTTACTTAGAGACAGTCTCACTGAGTTACTTAATGCCTTGCCATTGCTGAGGCTGGCTTTTACAATCCTCCTGTCTCAGCCTCCCGAGCCTCTGGGATTACAGGCGTGCACCAACATGCCTGGCTCTAGATTGTTTTTGTAGCAGAGGATGGAGCTTATGACAGAGTTGTGGAGCAGGATGGGTACAGGCCAGGAATGGGTTCTTGTTCCTGGGTGTTGAAGAATAAAATACCTGTGGTGTGGAACCAAGGCAAGTGTAGAGCACAAGTTTTATTAAGAAAAAGATAGAGATAGATTTTTCCAGAGAGAAGGGGATGGGTGTCCATAGGAGGGGGTGAGATTGCTTCCCTATAGGCCCCAGAACCCCTCTTTATAATCATTCCCTTCTTTTTCTTCCCCGTGTACGTGACTGGGAGCAGGAGTGCAAAGGTTCACTGTTAGCAGCGCACTGTTCTCTGATAACCAGTGGTCTCTCTTGATCCCCATCATTCATTACCTACACTGATTGCCTGACCTTTGCCCCTGCCTCAGTTTTCTGGGGAATGTGACATAACCTGTCCACTTAGGCCAGGGCTGCAGGCAAATTGCTTTTTGGCAAAGAAAGCATGTGGGGGTCAGCACCGTGGGCCCATTTTACAGAATTATTCTCTTCATGTTCCCACAATTTACATCTGCCTGTCCCCTAACACAGGCAGCTCATAAGGGACCATTAAGAAATGCTTGTGTCTAGATGGGTGCTGTGCTGCACTCCTATAATCCCAGCGCCTCCAGAAGCTGAGGTGGGAGGATTGCAAGTTCAAAGCCAGCCTCCTGGGTTCAATCCCCAGTACCAAACAAAAGTAAAATAAAGGTTCTTTCTTTTTTTTTTTTTGTCCTCATTTCTCTCCTGAGCCAATTCTTTCTGAATTCATGGGCCAAGGGATTTTCTTACCTGCCTATCTTCCCCAGAAGCAGAGATTCATGCATTTATTGAGCACGGATCCCAGGCAGGTCACAGAGCCTCACCACCATAACAAAAGAAGAACTGGTAGCTCCTTTGTGGACAACCAGGAGTGATATCAGATAGCACTGGTGGGCAGATGGTAGAAAGGAGAGCAATTTAGTGGAACAAACACACCGACAAGTCTTTCGCTTAAAGAAAAGAGACACAGGGGCTCGAGTTGTGCTTGCCTCACATGTGTGAGGCACTGGGTTCAATTCTCAGCACCACATATAAATAAATGAATAAAATAAAGGTCCGTGAACACTAAAAAGTATTTTTACAAAAGAGACACAGGTCTGGGGCTGGGGCTCAGTGGCAAAGCACTTGCCTAATACATGTGAGGCGCACTGGGTTTGATCCTCAGCACCACATAAAAATGAATACAGGTATTGTGTCCGCCTATAACTAAAAATATTAAAAGAGAAATAAGGAAAGAAAGAAAAGAAAAGAGCACTGGCGTTAGTGACAGGGCTGTTTGCAGGGCGGGTGGCGGGGGGGGGGTAGGTTTAGGAATGTTCATCAGCTTTAGGTTCATTTCTAAGGGTATGATTCCCTGTTCCTTGAACTCTGAGGTAGGCCTGCTCAGTGGGCCTTCGGGAGCGAAGATTAGCTTCTCATATCCTGCTGCGTTCTTTCTTTTTCTTTTCTTTTTATTTTTTTTGTGGTTGAACCCAGGGCCTTGTGCATGCCGCACTCTGCCAGCTGAGCTGTGTCCCCTGCCCCCTGATGCATTGTTATACACATCTCCGCCTGCAGTTAAGAGAACGCAAACCACAGTGAGTGAAATGTCAAGGGCCCTGAGAATTTGCTCTTTTGGTGGATCCTCAACAGTTTTTAATCCTTTCTGTTGTTTGTCCTCGTCGTCATGGCAACAGCATCCTGGCCCTAATGAGGCACCTGGGCTCTGAAGCTCATTTAAAGGGATGGCTAAGGCACATACCAAGCTTTCATTTATTAACTAATTTTTGCAGTACTGAGGATTGAGCCTACGGGTGCTCTGCCACTGCATTACATCCCCAGCCCTTTTTATTTTTTTATTTTTTGAGACAGAGTATTGCTAAGTTGCCCAGGTGGGCCTTGAACTTGCCATCCAGATGGAATTTTAGAGGTAAAAATGGCCCAAAAGCTAAAGCATTGAGCATGCAATTATTCCTTTACCTTCTCTGCCCATCCTGGCCTGCACTTGCACTTGGAGGGAAATTCAGCAGGAGGCTGACTTAGAAATTGGGACAAGGGACAGAGGCGAAAGGCTATTTTGTTCCACTGTGGCATATTGATGTTGTGAGCATTCCCTTCCTGGACTCACACCCTACATAACGTTCCTGCTTCTGAGGGCTCCTGACAGAGGTGACCCCCTCCCCCTCCCCTTTGTATTTGAACTTGGCCCTTCTTTCTGCCTCACTGTCTTCCCCATCTCCACATTCCACTTTCCAAACCACAGATAAGACTTTGCATCCCCAGGTTGTGCTGAGACCTGTTTGGTGTCCTTGAACTTCATCCCTGATGTGGTATAGCCAAGTAGGCAGGCTTCTAAGGATCAGCCATAGGCCACTCCCTCCCTGCTCTTTCACCCCAAGAATCATTTCTGTTTTTTTGGCCTCGTGGAACTTCATTGATTTGTTCTTTTTAAAAAATATTTTTAGTTGTAGAGGGACACAATACCTTTTTTTGGTTTATTTAGTATTTTTTTTATGTGGTGCTGGGGATCGAACCCAGTGCCTCATGCATGCTAGACAAGTGCTCTACCACTGAGCCACAATCCCAGCCCTAATTTGTTCTTTATATAAACACAAATTAAATATGTGGAAGAAATGTTAATGCTTTGGGGAGGATTAAGACCGACTAGAGCCCTTAGGAATGGAGTTTCCTATCCATGGAGGTGTAAGACAGACTGGGTGGGCTAGAGATGTGGCTCAGTGGAAGAGCACTTACCTGGCAGGTGTGAAGCCCTGGGTTCGATTCTCAGTACTAGAAAAAAATTTAAAGGGAAAAAAAAAAAGGAGGCTGGTAGGCCACCCTGATGGGCTGTCCCCCTTTACTTCTCTCAAATCACTTCATTATTTTTCAAAGTGACACATGGTCATTATGAAGAATTAAAGCAGGACAGAAAATGAAGAAGACATTATCTCAGATGCTGCCATCTGGACAGAAATCTGTCTCCTGGTAGAATTCATAGACTTTTCTTAGACCTAGAGAGATGGCAGTAAGAGGGAATGATAGGCAGTCAGTGGCTTTGAAATCCTTCTGGATCACGGATCTCTGGCTATAGCTAGACCTCAGATTTCTTTTATTAGAACATGGTACGTGCGTTCACTCTCTCTCACACACACACACACACACACTCACATGTACATACATTCACAAACCCAACTTTGTACACAGTTTCAGGGGATTCATGAGAAGCCTCTGCCACAAGAATCATTGGTGATATTTGTGTATCCATGGGCAGGTACATTTAATTTCATAATGGAAACATTTCAGCAGCAGAAGATAAAACATGCATGCAATATTTTGACACATACCATACCCCGCCAACACACACACACTCAAACTATTAAACTGAGCAAAACTAGCTCCTGTGACTTTTTCCATGAATATATATTTATTTGTTACTTGTTATGTGCCTAGTTATCAGCTGGCACTTTCTCTCTAGAAAGGCAAAAGCTTTAAAAATTTGAAAGAAGAAAAAACTTCCATTTGAGAAATTTCTACTGGCTATTTTTTAGTTTCCTTTTCCATGGATTAAAAACAGACCAGCACTAAAATACTGGGGCAGAGCAGTGTGGTAAGAGGAAAAGAACATGTTTGGATCCCAACTTTACCAGTCCCTCAAACTTGGCAAGTTACTGAACTTTCCTGAGCCTCAATTTCCTCACCAGTAAAATAGGAGTAATGACATTTTGGTGTCTATCACCATTAAATGGGATACAATAGTGCTTTGATATGCTCAATAAATAAATGCTTGCAGTGGTTGTTAAAATGATCATTATTCTATGCAGTCTTTAGACCATGGTATACAGTAAATGCTTCATTAATGTTAACTCCCTTAAAAAGCAGGGTTGTACCAGGTGCAGTGGCTCATGCCTGTAATCCCAGAGGCTCATGAGACTGAGGCAAGAAGATCGAGAGTTCAAAGCCAGCCTCAGCAACAGCAAAGTGCTAAGCAACTCAGTGAGACCCTGTCTCTAAATAAAATACAAAATAGGGGTGGGGATGTGGCTCAATGGTCGAGTGCCCCTGAGTTCAATCCCCGGTACCCCCCCCCCAAAAAAAAAGGCAGGGTCAGTGCAGTATTCTGTGGTCACCATGGTAGGTGAAGGCTGTTGGGCTAGTTGGTAAGTTACTGCAGGATGAGAATTTCTCTTAGTCTGTTTTCTGTTGCTAATGAGACAAGCCATAGAGTGGATAAGGTTATAAAGAAAAAAGGTTAATTTGGGCAGCTGATTCTAGAGGTGCGTGGTCATGCCTCTGGTGCTAGCCTTCTTGCTGGTGGAGTCCCTAGGTGGCATGGGGCCTCACAAAACCCTGGACAGGGAGCATGTGGATGTGGCTTCTGTCTCAGCTGAGACAGGAGAGGAGAAATAAAAGGTAGAGAAAAGACAAAAGGAGGGAAAAGGAGACTGCAGCTTTCTTCTGAAAGCCTTGACCTTCCTTGACCTTGGCCTTCACTTGCGGGCCAATATGCCTCCCAGGCCTATAACTCCCCAAGCCGGTTTTTCTTTTCACTCTCAAATTTCTGGGAAATCTGTTCATCTTTACTCACAATCTTGAAGTTACTAGAAATTCACTTACTTAGGAAAATTGCCCTGTGCCATGTACGAATTTTGAGAATAGACTGAGCAAATGGAGAGGTGATGGTTTAAGGAACCTTCACAGCGGGTACACTGCAAACATTATCTATGGATCAGACATTATCTATGGAGACAGTGTCAAAGATCCTGAGAACAGTCAGACCACCAGAACATCTTGTCATCACCAACTGATGTCCTCTCTAGAGACCTTCAACGCCATCCCTCACAATGTTTCCTTTAAAAAAAGGAGGACTGAGCAGGGCAATGTGGCAGAGACCTGGGATCCTAGTGGCTCAGAAGGCTGAGGCAGGAGGATGGCAGGTTCAAAGCCAGCCTCTGTAATTTAGCAAGACCTTTAGCAACTTAGTAAGACTAAGGGCCGGGGATGTGGCTCAGTGGTTAAGCGCCCCTGGGTTCAATCCCCAGGACCCATAAATAAATAAATAAATAAATTACATGCATATGTAAAGGAGGACTTGAGACTTCCAAGACGTGTCTCGCTCTCAGACAGCCCACGTCTACCCTTGAATGTGTACTCCTTGCTTTCCAGAATAAATCTCTTCTTATGCCTCTGACACATCTTGCAGGTTTTTTTTTTTGGGGGGAGTGAGTACTGGGGATAGAACTCAGGGACACTCGACCACTGAGCCACATCCCCAGCTCTAGTTTGTATTTTATTTAGAGACAGGGTCTCACTGAGTTGCTAAGCACCTTGCCTTTGCAGAGGCTAGCTTCGAACTCTGTGATCCTCATACCTCAGCCTCCCGAGCCACTGGGATGACAGGCATGCACCACTGTGCCCGCACGAAGGGATTCTTGACATATACATGTTGTAGGAAAAAACTGCAGCCAGGCATGGTAGCACATGCTTGTCATCCTGGGGGCTCCAGAGCCTGAGACAGGAGGATCACCAGTTCAAAGCCAGCCTCGGCAAAGGTGAGGTGCTAATCAACTCTCTAAATAAAATACAAAATAGGGCTTGGGAGGGCTGGGGATTTGACTCAGTAGAGTGTTTGCCTCAAATGCACAAGGCCCTGAGTTCAATCCCTAGTACCCCCCCCCAAAAAAAAAAAAATCCTGTTGTCCTGACTCCCCTCTCCTCCAAACCCCAGGGACCTCCTCAGACTCCCTCCAATGACAAAGGCACCAGTATTCAGTCACAGGAGGGGAGCTGCATCCTGATGACCTCAGTTTAGAGAACCAAATGACCTCTGAACACCATGGTTTAAGTTTCCACCCCTCCCTAACATGAAACAGCGGAGATAACAGTTCAACAAGAGTTTTTGTTGGGGACG